GCTCCATCCAAACAGTTTAGAAATTGATTATTTGGTGCCATTTGGACCACCTAAAACCGGTTCAGCTCTAACTTTTCGTTTTGCTTTGTATATCACCAATAGTGGTGTAAAGTATCCATCAGCATTACAGCAATTGTTCACTGTATAATGGATTTTTTCATTTTTACCAGTGAGTTTCAAAACACGTTTTGCACTTTTTTGACATACTACAGTTGCTTTGCCTTGATCACCACAGTAACCCGTTTCATCGCAATTCCAAATGTGATAACCAAAAGTTATCCCAGACAATTGATATTGTTTAGTGACAACTTCAAAATAATTATCAACTATTTCTTGCGTACAAGAAGCGGCTCTAGCATATGCAAAAGTGTGAGTTTTTCTTGTGGAAATTTCTTTAGACCATCGGTTTATAAATGCATAAAACCAGTTTTTGCCAGACCTGCGGTTTTTAAAAAGGCCTGATTGATTTGTACAAAGAAGGTAACTGCATACAAAGTCCATGACATCATTTTGTGTTAAACCATAACCTCAATTGCATAGGAACTTAAACGCATGACGATAATTGACTCTGTTTGCTGTGAGTGTACGGTTGTTTATCCTAATCTCTTGAAGTTAGTGTTGTTGTTGCTTTTGCGACCTATTAGAGTTGAGAATGGAACGCCATATTTGAATGCAGATTTTCTTATTGAAGTATTTTTTTCTTTTATAGCATTTAACGCAGCTTCTATATCTTCTTCATTGTATGACTTTTTACTTGCTGTCATATTAGAAGTGAATAAATTTTTGAATTAATAAATAGCATTGAGTCATTTTTGTAAAATAACTTTATATAGGAAGAACCCGGAACTAACACATGAAAAAATTCAATAATTTAATTTACCTAAGTACCTAATTTAAAAATTCACTTACTACTTAATAAAGGAATTTAAAGTAAATTTGTGAATGATCGGTTTTACCAGAAAAAATTTAATATTAATTTTTCTTACTTTTTTGTCTAATTTTTAACTATAAAACAAAAAAAATTTATGTAATCCGTATTAGATTAGATTTTCTACAAGATAGAGGTAAAATTATTTTTAAACCAATCATGGTTCCCGAATTATTACGATAGCAAATAAAAGAAAAAAGCAAATTTTTACGACTCTCTTTTAAACTTTTATAAAAATAAAATGACTAAAAAATGACTTGGATTTTATTTTGACACATTTGAATAAAGGAGATGATTCTCTTTCTTTTGGTGTTTTTATTTTTTAAATATTCCTGTCAGTTCCGGTTTTATTTAAACTTTTTGATCAGTGATCGAAAAAATAGTATGATCGGTTTGACCCGCTTTTACTCTATCATACCTATTTTGAAAAAACTATTGAATATAATGCAAGTATCTTCGGAAATATCAAATAGTCACTCTCGTCAATTTGGTTTCAAGTAAAATAGCTTTGAGCTGAGTTCCCTTTCAGTGAAACAATAAAACACTACAGTAATACTAGCTCATTAGTTGATATTATTTGTTTAGATTAAAATAAAGCCTTTTATACTTTTAATTGGAGTTTGTTATTTAAAAAAACTTTTTTGCAACAAAAAGTTACCGCAAACTGTAATTCCTTGAACATAAATCAAATCAATTCCGTTTGTCTCAAGGCGTACGACAAGGGTTCATTTTTCTTTTCATTTTTTTAACTCTATATTTTTACAATAACTACACTGAAAGTATATTAAGTCAAATTGTTTGAGAAGTTAGATTAGCAGAAAGTGGTATATAAACTGGCATTATTGCTAATGCAAACAATTTAGTGGCACAAAGTCCTACCTGTTACTTACTCTGGACTGCAAAAGTTGGTTAATAAAGTTCAAACATAATATAAAAGCCTTTAAATTAAACTAAACATATTTGAATAGAGGAGATGATTTTCTTTCTTCTGGTGTTTTTAATTTTTTAATTATTTTTATCAGTTCCGGTTTTATATAAATTTTTCGATCAGCAATCGAAAAAATAATATTACCGGTTTGACCGGCATTTACTCTACCAAATTATTATTGAAATAATTTATAAATAATCTATCAGGCTTTTTAGATGTAACTTAATGTCTTTCAGAGCGAGGTTTGCTTTCAATAGTTTTGCGCCGGAGAAGTTTTTTCTATTGAGACTTTTTTTTTAATAATTTATTTATTTCTTTAGAAACTTCCAGTAAAATAATTTACAAAACTTCAAAAATAGTTTGATCTATAGTTTATACTTCAAGTTATAATAATTCTGAGTCTGAAAAATTCTAAAAACATAGTTGTAAATGCTATTTACAGATAACCAGCGGGTACTTTTGAAAACTTTTAAACTTGCTATTGCACTTTTTAATCAAACTTAACATAACTTAAAAGCTTGTTAACTTGCGTATTGTTTGTTTTGATTTTTGCGCCAAATTTTGCATATCTAAGAACATGTTGTTTTGTCAAAAAATCTTTAGATTTTCCAGCACAAAAAATGCAATAACTTAGGATTTAATTA